ATATATATAAATTAATGTTAATTAGTATCGTACATGTAAATAAATAACTAAATTATATAAAAAGTTCATTTCACATAAACGATTTTTTTAACTATTTTTTATATTCACTTATTTTCAAATATTATTTTTACACCGTTTATAAAATATTTTAAAATAACGTGCAACACACATTTAGTTGTGACTAGTTTCCTAAAAATCATTATTAAAAAAAAAAAAATTCTGCCAAAATTGATGTCTGGACTCTAAATTATCATTTATAAGAGAGATAACTAATCAATTTATTTTTAACTTTACTAATGATCATTATTCATTTAAGTCCATGTTTGGTGGTTATTTTTTTGAAAAAAATATTATTTTGAATGCTGAAATTTTGAAAAAATGTGTGATGAAAAATAAATGTGTCAAAAAAAACAAAAATAAAAATTTGAAAGAACGAAAAACAAACGAGGACTAAAATTTGCTAAGCAATTTGGCGCACATAAATTGCGTCGTCCTTGTCCCGCTCTCCGCTTCGAGGTATCCCGTACCCTCCTTCAATTCATATTGTGCAAATTTCTCTTCTTTCTGGAAATGCCGGATTCTCTGTAACTTTTTCAACGCGGAGAATGTAAACATAGAACATTATGGGCTATTACACAAAACCTAGTATATTTTAGTTGAATTGTCGGTTATTATGTTCAATTTAGTTCTGTTCATTTGTTTCTTCTCTTTGGCAAAGTTTCAGAGAATGTTTTACGTTTTAATGTAAAATTGTTGTATTTGAATTTTTTTTTTTGGGTTGGTTCAAACCACCCCCCCCCCCCCCAAAGGCCACATTGCTTACACGATTCTAGGAAGAGGAAGAAATATATATGAACACTTGGAGAAAATTCTTAAATCTATTTGACACGATGTTTAGAAGGAGAGTCAGTTGGTGTTCCGTTTATAGGACTGGATGAGGCATCAGAGCGGCGAATTTAGGAAGTCATAGAATAGTTTATATAGGATCTCATTGGTCAAGATAAGATTTTGTTGAAGGAGATTGAACGACAATGTAGAGAAAGGTAACTCGTGATAGAATTTTGGAAAAAATAGTTAAGCGACTAATAGAAGTATAGGTTGATAATAGATATAGCAATCTAAACCAATTATATAAAAGATGAAACTCGAAGAGTATTGTCTCATAGTGATGAGATCATAGAAAAAAAAAAAAGCAGAATTAAAGCAGCATTAGTTGTGTTATGAGCACTACATGTTTTCACTTCTTTGATGCCCATGTTACTGAAATAGGACTCTGGACCCTATTAAAACTTTTTCCTCTCTTCACCCATGTCAAACGTCCTTNAATTGGTGTGAAATTTCCTAACAAGGACTTCTGCTGGGACAACACTGTGAGATTCCATGGTTTCTGTGGTACTTGATGACAAAGAGATGATTGAAACAGAGGATTAATTGTCCAGCCATAATTTGGTTTTTGAGAGCAGATTTTTTTTTTCTCGCGTGGTAACTTCAACAGATGTATACATTTTTATTATCGAAAATAAATGAATATCCTAGTTATGAATATGTTTAGTGTCTAAGAATTATACGATCTAAAAATTACATGGTGTATACTGCAACACCTAAAAGCTGAAAATGCATCAATCTCTCCTAATCATCCCTATTCCCCTTGCATAAATTTTGATTGTCTGCTGGAAACAATTGTCTTGCAGTTAAACTAAGCAGTTGCAGAAGCCATGGCTCGGCTGTGGAAGGGTGTTGGCCCAATATGGGGTTCCTCGGATGCCTCATCTTGATCTTGATCATCTATTTCCCAGAGGAAACTGGCGTATGCTGCTTGAATGTGGCTGGTGACACAATATCGTAGAAGAATCAGAATGATATTTGATGGTACATGTTTTATTAAGATGGATTAGATATCACTTGATGGTACATTCCATACCAATTATTACAAAAAGGCTGTTCTAGGCATTGAACATGGACGAACCTGTCATGAGAAGATGCTTGTACTGCTCGTTCAAAATAGCTCGTCGCTCTATCTTCATCACGGTGTAGTTCCCACACCAATTTAGCATATTGTGAGAGAATTTCACCATCTTCTGGATCAGCCAAAATAGCCCTGCAATAATACTCCTCCGCTCCTTCAAGGTCTCCCTTTGTCTGCCAAAAACAGGTGAATCAATGTTTGTCTTTGATTGTTCTTTAAACCAAGAAACTATGTAAGATTTGGTTGACCACCTCGTAAAAATGTTTTAAGATTTTATAGCATGTTTGGTACGATTAACTGGCACGACCATGTCATGTCCGGTCTACCATATACCAAAAACATCATTGGAGCATATTTCATAGGCATATCCTAGTGAAGGGACTTACTTGGTACAAGAACTGTGCATAGTTTCTCAAAAACAAAGGATTGTTTGGACTTTCCTCCAGCATTCTCTTGTAGTGCTCTTCCATACCGAGTCCACCACGGCTGTCGCCACCATCCCTATCAAAGGCTACCGGTCTATAGTTCCCACCACCACCATTGCCGCCATTTCCTCCTCCAATGGGTCCATCCCCATCTAAATAACTAATATCAGCCGCCCCAAGCCCTGTTGCAAGATACATTTTCCTCTCCGCTTCAAACCTCAAAGTATCATATTCATTCACACTTGTCATCTCTTCTTTCAAATGCATGCGATGCGCCTTGATTTGGTTTTCCTCATTACTTTCTACTTCCCCTTCGTCTTCTTCCTCGTCACTGCCTTCGTCTTCTTGACAAGTTCCCAAGTTGTAAGACGAGAAAGACAAGATTGGCTCCAACCCAAAACAATTACGTTTGCACGCAAATTTCTTGGATCCGTTGGAGAAACTAAACTCGTCAACATTATACGAGACATTGGTCAACTCTTCCAAGTTTCCGTCGGATTGAACTCTTCGAAATCCGCTCGGGGAACATTGGCTGGCGGTCGAGGGAGACGAATGCCATAAAGATTTAGGGTAATGAGATCCACAGGAGAGTTTTTGATGAATGGAAGTTGGCGTCTCTTTAGGCACTTCAGATTGGTAGTGATTATTGCTGGGACTTTCTGAAAAGGATGAGAGAAGGGATCCAAGAACTGGAGTAGATGAGCTTCTCAGCAACATTTCTTCTGTTAAATTTGATCTTTAATGAACCTGCTTTTCCATGAAGAAGATGAAATTTATTCCCTTTTTCAGGAATTCTTGAAAAACACCGCGCAAACAACAAACTAAACCTTATATATATAATAAATAAATTGAGGATAAAATACATAATTTTCTTTGATAATTTCCATTTGATTCATTACTACTATCACCAAAACAGCATATCATGTGAAAATTACACTATTGTACAATTACTAAAAATCAATTAAATCAAGATCTATGTATAATGGTACCTTTTTTGAACTGCAGACAAGACAGGCGCTCCTATAAAGGAGAAGTATATGCAGGGAAGAAAACTGAGAATGGTAATGCCTGTGGAATGCCTTTTTATCTTCAGTATTTTTTTTTCCAGGAAAAATAAATTATTTGAAATATTTGTATGGTGGAGAGCAGCTAAGCAATCTTAAGAGGAAAATATCAGTTTGTTCACTCGTGTTGAGCTAGGAAAAAAAAATCAATTATAGGCGAGGCTATGCTCCGTAGGTTTCTTGGACAAGTGGATGGAAAGAAAAGTATAGGACAAACGCGTCTTGATTTTGGCATTACACCACGTTTTCTTTTGCTTATTTTTCCATCCCATCCAAAAAAATCAGCACGATGACGGTTTAGTAGAGTTTTTAATTTAAAATAAGCCCCTGTTCGATACTCATTTTTTTTTCATTTTCGTTCTTTTTCTCTTTCTTCATTTCAACCATACATTATATCAATAAAATAATATTATATATAAACCTAAAAATTTTCCTTACTTTTTAACCACACATTCTTACATCAATCACTATTTAAAAACACATTTTTCTACAAAAATTGGTGTCAAACACCCCCCTAAATTTATCTAGTCACGTGCATAATTTGATGGACTTGCCGTGCTGTTTCTGGAATTATAGAGATGAACAATCCTAATTCAACTAGAATTCTATTTCCTATCCAAATCGAGTTTTGAAAGGAAAATATCTTCTTCAATATTAATTGTTTATTTGACGCTCTTTAATTTATTTTATAATTTGCTACAGATCATTTCAATCGTACATTTATAAAATAAAATATTCTATACGTATACCAAAAATGTTTCCCTATTTTTTAACAACAATATTCTCATAAAAATCACAATTTAAAACTCTTTTTTCTACCAAAATTAATCAATTTATTTTTAACGTTACTAATGAGTGCCTGTTTGTCAACCATTATTGAGAAAAAAATGGTGTAATGAATAGTATTTTTTGGAAAATGTGTGGTTGAAATTGAAAGAAATTTTATCGGTTTATGTGTAGACTATTTTATTATTTGACTGTGTGGTGAAGATTGATTACTGTAGAGAACAATNTAGAATATTTTATTATTTAAATGTATGATAGAGATTGATTACTGTAAAAAACAATTTTTTGAAAAATCATAGACAAACAATTTAATTATTCATTTAAGTCAATGGAGGTCTTTTTTTTGGAAAATGAATACTGAATTTTTTGGGTAAATAATTGCGTCAAAAAAATAATAAAAATTTGAACAAAGAAAAACAAATGAGGACTAAATTTTGTTACGTTAGACACTCATTTTTTTCTCATTCTTTATTTCAACTACACATTCTATTAATAAAATAATATTACACATAAATCCAAAATAATATAACTTTTTAACGACACGATCTTCCGATGAATCACTATTTCAAAAATTATTTCCTTAAACAAAATGGGTGTCGAAGAGGAGCATTTGGCGCGGATAACCTGCGTCGTCCTTGTACCGCTCTCTGTCTTCGAGGTATCCAGTACCCTCCTTTAATTCATATTGTGCAAATTTCTCTTTCTGCAAATGCCGGATTCTCTGTAATTTTTTCAACGCGGAGAATGTAAATATAGAACATTATGGGCTATTACACAAAACCTAGTATATTTTAGTTGAATTGTCGGTTATTATGTTCAATTTAGTTCTGTTCATTTGTTTCTTCTCCTTGGCAAAGTTTCAGAGAATGTTTTACGTTTTAACGTAAAATTGTTGCATTTGAATTTTTTTTTTTTTGGGGTCCCCCAGGCCACATTGCTTACGCGATTCTAGGAAGAGGAAGAAATATATAGGAACACTTAGAGAAAATTCTTAAAACTATTTGATACGATGTTTAGAAGGAGAGTCAACTGGTGTTCCGTTTATAGGACTGGATGAGGCGTCATAGCGGCGAATTTAGGAAGTCATAGAATAGTTTATATAGGATTTCATTGGTCAAGAATCAAGATAAGATTTTGTTGAAGGAGATTGAACGACAACGTAGAGAGGTAACTCGCGATAGAATTTTGGTAAAAATAGAGCGACTAATAGAAGTATAGGTTGATAATAGATATAGCAATCTAAACCAATTATATAAAAGATGAAACTCGATGAGTTTTATCTCATAGTGATGAGATCATAGAAAAATAAAGCAGAATTAAAGCAGCATTAGTTGTGTTATGAGCACTACATGTTTTCACTTCTTTGATGCCCATGTTACTGAAATAGGACTCTGGACCCTATTAAAACTTTTTCCACTCTTCACCCATGTCAAACGTCCTTNNNCTCTTCACCCATGTCAAACGTCCTTGAGCATATCTTGTAGTATCGTTTCTTATTCTTTTCCTTAGTATAAACCAAACTCTATAACTCAAAGTTTGATTTGTATGTTTATATATCAGATATTTTGGTCTCACTCGCACGTTGACACCCTCAGGTGCCACCACTTCTGCTGAGTAAATGGAATTAGAACTCCCCACATTTGTCAGACGTCTTTTAATAATCTTCCGCGTCTCTCCTGACTTGAAAATTACAGAAATCGAGGGATAATTGAGGCTGAATCCCCTGTTCTGGTGGACAATGTCATGGCAACTCACGTTCCTGTGAGTTATGGCGAGAATTTCAGATCTTGTATATCCAAGAGTGCATAGATGAGTTATATAATCATTTGGCTGGATATTGTAAATCAATCCTGGATCGACGGCTCGTCCCGGGTTTACGTGTCCTGCTCCAATTGCGAACAGCTCGGCAGGCTTGTCTCCATCCATTATTGGTTTGCCTAGATGATCCATCATGTCTGCAGTTGTCATAAGTGCGGATTTGATTGCAGCCGGGGTCCATTTTGGATGAGCTGAGTGAAGCAGAGCAGCAATTCCACTGGCATGGGGACAAGCCATGGAAGTCCCTGACAAGACAGTGAAGTTCACTCTTCTAGAATCTTCTGGAAGGCCACTCGGGCCGAGATTTTGTGGCCAGGCAGCAATTATATTAACTCCCGGGGCAATTATATCCGGCTTGAGGATTGCAGGATCAGTAAAACTTGGTCCTCTTGAGGAAAATTGAGCTACTGCAGGTGCTCGGAATTTTCCAATGATTGTTCCTCCAAATATGATTTTAGCTCTTGGTCTCCTTGTGGAGTTCATATAACTTCCCAAGTTAATTGATTCATCAAATCCTATCAGTGTTGCTGGTAGGACATGGACATCGACTGAATCTTCCTCCAAATTAATTTCTGTATTCACTAAAATCATTGCAGCACCGCCTGCTTCCTTCACTATCTGACCCTTCTCGGCTCGCCCATTGATACCACGCTTACACACTACCATTTTACCTCGTACTTTTGCTTTTGGAAGAGACCCTCTCATGCAAAATTCACTACCCTTATTGCCTCCAGTTAAATAAACTAGCTCGAGCTCCGTCCCTGCGCTTTGAGCTATATTCCCGGGGTACATGGATTCTCCATATAGGAACTTCCCATTGCCTAGTTGAACTATAGCTGGAAATCTTCGGTCAAGCGCGCTTGCACCAATGGTAGCAATCCAAGGAGCCTCATTGGCAACCGAGTATTGGATTGGACCGTTGTTTCCTGCAGAACATACTACTGAAATGCCATGCTCCATAGCTCGAAAACTGCCAATGGCAATGGTATCCTCGTATAGGGGTACAGGGAAGCCTCCTAGTGAAAGGGAGAGTACGTCAACTCCATCTCTGATGGCTACATCCATTGCTGCAAGGATGTCCGAGCTGTAACAGCCACTGAACCAACAAACTTTATATATGGCAACATGGGCACCTGGGGCCATTCCTCGAGCCTCACCAGCTCCATTTCCGAGGACATTTGCCATTGGCACTGGAGCTCCGGCAGCAGTGGATGCTGTATGGGTACCATGACCATGAGAATCTCGTGGTGATACGTATTCTGAGACTATATCAGGCGACGATGACAACGACGCCACACGATGACCTTTGCTGAAAAATCTGGCACCAATGAGTTTTCGGTTGCAATTTGAAGAACTGAAATCTTGTCCTTCTTGGCAGGTCCCTCTCCATTTCTGAGGAACTGGAGGCATCCCTTGATCATCAAAGCTCGGACTCTCTGGCCAGACACCGGTGTCGAGCACACCAATTATTGACCCTCGACCAAATCTAGAATTCAACCAAGCACCTCCTCCAGTTGGACTTAGTCCTAGGAACTTGTAAGAGTAAGTAGTGTGAATCTCAAGCTTTCTATCTGGTCTTATGGCAATTACTTCATGTGACTTCTGCAAGGTCTCAAGCTCGACCAGTGACAGTTGAGCTGCAAAACCTTCAATTGCAGAGCTGTAAGAGTACAAGAGTCGAGACGAAGAATCCTCATTGCTGGAAATGGTTTTCTCAAGGAATGAAAGGTGCCAATGATGTCTAGAGCTAAAAGAAGACTTCGTTAACCCCTGTGGGTGGAGTTGAACTATGTAGGTTTGTAAATTCTGCGCATGGACGCAAAGAATGTAGAGTAAAAGGATGGAAAAAGGAAGTCGAATTTTGGGCTCCATGGAGTGCTACCAAATAGTATGAATCTTGGATAGTAGCAGTGGTGTTGTACATTTCCAGGAATGAAACATGCGGTATTTGAAGGCGTTGAAGAGAATTCAAATCTGGGTTTAGGAGCCATGTCTGAACCCCTGAGACAAAGGTAAAGCTCGTGAAATTTAAGAGCTCTTCATCACGAGTATCTTTTGGAGAGAGAGAGAGAGAGAGAGAGGCAGATGGTTTAGTTTCTTGAGGAGCTCAATTGTATTGACTTTCACGAGATGTTTTGGTCAAATTTAATGTACTACAGTAAATCAAATTCCACCCATGGATCTTTGTCGCAGAATCTGTTGTTTAGTACTGGAACATGGCACGAACGTTATGGTGGACAAGATTTTTAAAATGATAAGAAATCATGGAAAATTTAGAAGGAGAGAGTGATTATGGGTATGGTGGGGCCTCATTTATTTACACGCTCTGGTTTGCCTCAACATGGCTCCTCATACCACATGCTACTTGTGCCTCGTACTGCATGGTTTGGTTTCTTTGGTTCTATGTTGCATTCAAACCAAATGTAAAATTTTCAAATGCTTGAATGTTCATTTAAATAATTCAATTACAATAATATCATGCGCAAGAACTTAAATTATGTTTGAAAAATCTATACTTTAGTGGAAAAATTTCTACTAAGTGTTTTTAAGTGATATGTCATCTTTAATAAGACTCGCGTCCTTATTTTTAAGATGATCTAACACTTGAACGCAACATAGACGGGTAATTAAACACTGATATTGCTAAATATAATTATTCTTTTAACACACTCCAAATCAGGATAATGAAATAAAAAGAAAGAATTACATTTCCACAAGGTAAAAACCCTAAAAAGGAATTCCGTCCAGAATTAATAACGGATGATCCACTTGGACAACAAAAGATGACGTGGCATCTAACATTACATTAATACATAATACACCAATAACGATAAAATCGCACCATTTTTTTTAGAGGGAAATATGCTCTTATTGCACTTGAAGCGTGAAGACACCTTAATAAATGATGCATTGTTATCCTTGTTGGCATGTTGTCGTCGAAGTAATGTCATATGGAATACCATGTCATCAATCTGTTCTCCACATGGGACATTCATTAGCTATTTTTGACAAAATTCATTTTTAGTACTAACGTGGTTCACGACTTAAAGTGAATGACTAATGAATTCCAATTTGAAGTTAAGGATTTTACATCAAATTTGGATTTCATTCGAAATAAAATTATGTCTTTCAATTTAAGATTGTCCAAATTGGTGGATTATGTATCCTCTTTTCTTTCATTATTAAACACCGTTACGCACGCGTCGAGTTTCAATCATCATTTATAATATAAAAAACTGTAAAAAAGAATTGAGCATTTTAACTTAAATCTCTTAATAAAATCAAACTTTGATATATGATCTCGATGTTCATAAATACGACGGAACGCACCTTCATTTCGCAAACTTATATATAGTTTATAAATGGTGGTCTCAAAAAATTGTGGATAATAACGAGTCTTAGTTATGAATATAGAATTGAAATTAGGGCTGTTTGATGAATATAATTGAGAAATAATGTATTTTAAATAATGATATGAAGAAAAATATGTGGTTAAAAGTAAGGAAAGTTATTGATGTGATGTAAAACATAATTTTGTTGAAAAATGTGTGGTTGAAAATGAGTTTTGAAATGATGTGTGTCAAACATGAACTTAATATTTGACTTTGACTGAAATTATAAATCAATTTTTAAATTGAATCGGAATGGAAGCTAAATTCTCAGTTCTCAATAGGACATAATCAAAAAATTATTATTATGTCCCTGTTTGATTCACATTGAAATTTTCATTCTCATTCTTCAACTCATTTTCAACCACATTTTTCAATAAAATAATATTTTTCATCACATCAATAATTTTTTTTTTTTTTTTCAACCCCACATTCTCTATCAATTTAATATTCTAAAATACATTCTTCTAAAATAATGTGGTTCAAATACACTCTATATCAGTTGGCACATAAGTGTGATGTACGCACGACAAGGATTGTACAGTACAAAAGACTTGCATTTATGGAATAGTATTTTTTTTACGAAAGTGTGGTTTGAAAATAATTAATTAATTAATTTTTTTTTTTGAATTTATGTTTAACATTATTTTATTTGAGAACACATCGTTGATAAGAAGAAAAAAAAAATGAATTATAATTTTAACGGGTCAAACGGGAGCTTAATAGTGTCCAAACAAGTAGACTATGCAGTAAAACGAGGCATACAAGAATTGGAAGCGAAAAAGACGAGTTTAGCTGATTAATTGGTAAGAAGATCAGCGCTTGATCTCTCTCCCTAAATTTTGCAAATCAAGACTGCTCAAGTCCAGCAAATGGATACTTCATTCTGGCTGACAGATTGTCTAAACACAAGACCACTCTCAGCGAGTAGTAGAACATTATTTCAGCAGATTTCCTCAAGAAAGCTTTAAATCAAACTATATTTTATTCAGTCAGTGTTCACAACAACATACAGTAATCCACAGACAAGAACGGGGAGTTTTTACACTTTTGGTCCTGCAAAAGATTGATTCTCTCTAGACAAATCAGATTCAACATTACATCCATCTCACCAAGTGCAAGAAAGATTTTAGCCGAAATATCCTCGAAACGGCTTTAAAGCATTTCAAATGTGCATCTAACGACTACAGTTTGTTTTCTGAACCACTTCGGACAACTATAGTAAAAATGAATTGTAATAAAAGGGATTATTTATGACTAAAACTTGATTTCTATTACTGAAAGCAAAAATGAAAAGTACTCATTGTTCTTTCTCTTGTGCCTTTCCTTAAAGTGAACATTCAGCATATGAGAGTATGTTCACTCAGCTATGTCACAGAATCTGTATACTAAATCCTTTGAAAAAGAATGGCAAACCAATATCTGTGAAAGGCTTATAAGAAACCTATTTATACTGGAAGCACAATTGTATATCTCTACATCTTGTCTTTAAACAAGATTTTCATTCCTAGACCCTATTGTATAATATAATGTCATACCAAGACCAACATTCATACCTCGATTCCACACAAAATGCACCACTACTGGTGTCTCAATGGAAGATCCAGCCATCTTACACCATGCATTGCTGGGAATTTGGAAAAATATCAATTTCAATATTCATGGCTGTTGTCTTTGCTCATTCTTCCAGGAGTTTTTTGCAGATTCTGTCGATGAACTGTTTGAATCTGCATTGCCATCTTTAGGTTTTGAGAAGAATGGATCCCATTCATGAGGCCCTACCTCTTGGCCTTCATCTAACAAAGCATATTTCCAACTAAGCTCCTCAATAAAATTATCATCTTTACGCCCCTTGATGATGTCTTTCCTCAACTTTGTAACTTTGTCAATGACAGCCTGAACAGACACGTCAAAAGCATCTTTGAGGGTCTCCAATTTGGAGCGAGGATCTGCATATATAAGCCTTGGGATGAGATTTATAACCGTCTCCCTCATTTCTTTTACCTTCTCTGGAGAAATTTCACCGAGCCTTTGTTCTATGCTGAGATTCCTCTTACGAATATCATCCTCCGGAATGAAAATGGAGTACT